TTCTTGTTGAACTTGATGAATTTTAAATCTTGTTGTGAAGTTAATGATATTTTTCGATATGCAGTGAATCATAGATAAATATGTTTTTAAAAAGAACTGTAGCCAACATATGTGGTGAGCAGATGGAAAAAACACGTCAGCACCCTCTGAGGAACAAAGCTGTGCGATGGTGACACTACAAATTATCTCCCACATGTTTACACACAGCCTACACCATATGTACATCCATATCCATCTACAATATGTTTAACCTTAATTCCCATGAGATCTCAATATAAAACAGTTGGACGAGTTATACTTTGTGACTATATTGTGTATTTACAGTACAGTTTAGAAGGACAAAAAAAAAAAAACTTACCTCCTCAGCTGCAAACTTCAAAACTGCTGTGAATGGTGTGCTGTCTGGAACACTTAGTCTGCAATGAAACACAATCAGGATTTTTAAAACACCATAAAATCCAGCATGCAGGAATTGCTTAAATTAAATTGGCATATATGAACCAATTGAACTGAGCTTTGCTTAGTGTTCGAGGGCTTCACAACAACAATTTATCTTCCGAGGACACTTTCGCTTGGTTGCTTCTCCAATGACTTGTGCAGAACAGTTTTCAACAAAAGGGCAACAACAACAGAAACCAAGAGAAACATTCTGCTGAGATGTGCGATAAAAAAACAAGCCGAGTGATACAGTCGCTAAATAAGGTAACATGGAGGGAGCTGAGGTGGTGGAGGGCAAAATCAATCGACACACTCAGAACAGACGAATCTGAGAGAGGAGCTGAACACGAGCTGCAGCTTTAGCTGTGTGAGCGAACAGAAACCAGCACCTGAGAGTGAGAGGTCACTTCTTTAGCTGAATAGACCGACAGTGAGCTCAAGTTCATTTCTATCTCAGAACATGACGCCTCATTTACTTTCGTCATCGTCCTTTTATCTACTGAGACATCAGCAGCTGCACAGACTCTAAACTCACTCAGAGATTTGACCTCCAGTCATGTTTTTCAGTGATTTTACTTCAAAATGAAGCCACGCTGAGAAATATTAAATGCATTCAGTAAAAATGGTGGTGGCAGCTGATTACAGCAAAACTGCTTGACATGCAATACGCCTCCTCACATATTCCACCATTACTGACAACAACTCCTCAATTCATTTATCATTGCTGCTCCCTTCATCTCTATCAGACGTTTTCTTGTGTACAAAAACTTTAAACACACTTTTCCATTATGCTACAAACTGCTTCTTCTGATCAATGTTTAAAGGGACAGTGTGTAGAATTTTGTGATATCTAGTGTTGAAATTGCATGTTGCAGCTGAACACCCCTCACCTCACGCTCTCCTTCCAAATATGAAAAACAAACTGTGGTGCATTTAATTGTCATAAAAACTCAAAAGGTGTTTAGTTTGTCCAGTCTGGACTAATGTAAAAAACATGGCGGCCTACGCGGAAAGGGTCCCCTCGATGTAAATATAAAGTATTTAAATATAAAGGGACTTTTCTGGGGTAAAGAAAACTACAATTTATACAATTTAGATGAAACGAACTAGTGAAAACATCATGAGAATTATTCTACATTCAATTTCTGCCAATAGTTCCCTTTCACTTAAATCTTACACACTGGACCTTTAAATGCTGTTATTTTCTTGATGTTCTCAGTTACACGCAGCGTCTTCTGCCTTTCTGTCAGACCAATCAAAGCTGCTTCACAAAGACCATATACAGTGAATTGTACAGTGGCTACAAAAGATTGTGAAGAGCAGAGATTACCAGATGTATTAAGGAAGTTTGATGTAACAGCCTGTTCATACTCCACATGAAGAGGCCGCCTCTACTTCCTAAAATCATACGCAAACGTCTCTGACTGGCCGTTGATGGCAGAGACTCAAATATTTACGCACTTCAAGAAATGACTTGTCTGTTGTTTGTTTAACATTTGAAGAAGCGAAACTCCAAAAGTGTTTTGTGGACTCAAACGCTCCACCCGGCCCTCCATCGGCCACAGTGGTGAGTAGATAATGAGTGCGTTTTCACTCTGGGGTGAACTGTCCCTTCAATGTGGGTGACAGGGATAAAAAAAAACACATGGTCAAATGAAAAATGGGCGGTCCAACCAGAGTCACGTGAAAAATGAGAGATGGCAACTGAATGGTGAGTGATGAGTTGGAAATATGAAGTGAATCACGAAGCTGTAAATCACACAAACAAATGCGTTGTCACATTTTACAGATGGACACGTGTTGTGGCAGATGTTGGAGCTCAGCAGCCATTAAAAACACACACACACACACACACACACACACACACACACACACACACACACACACACACACCCATGACAACCTGTTTGACAGACAGATGTTCTCTCATGTGACCACAGAGTTAAAACAAAGAAGCAGGTTAGCTTCCACATTAGCAACAAGGAGCTCGGTTTAGCGGCAGAAGCTCGACGGGTGGTTTTAGAAACCAGGAGGCGGAGGTGTGGAGCTGTGAGTCTGCTGAGCTGTCAGGGAACACTCACACTTTGTACGGCAGCCGGGGGTCCGACGTCAGCGTGATTTTAAACGTGACTTTAGACCTGAGGACGGAAACGAAACCACGGTTACCGTCAGCGCCATGTTGGCTCAGTTCCTGTGGAACACACTCAGAGACATTTAAACACGCGAGGTGAAGAAAACTCACATTTTTCTCTACGAGGCGACTCAGTCAGCTGCCTGTGTGCACACACCCGGAAGTCCGAAGGACCCACAACACACACGTCATCCAGTTAGTGTGTTATTTAAACACAGTATTTTCCATCTGTTTACTGTTTGTGTGCGTGTTTCATTATTTGTTTCACTATAATGAACATTCGACGTTTTAAATGTTTGTGTTAGAATAAAAAAGAAGCTGTAATTTGGGCTAATAATTGACAGGCATCATAGTGGACGACTAACATTTACCGTAAATGTCAGCGGTGACGCGCACTCACATTGACTATGTGAATGAACACCTCTTCCAGGTAAACTTCAAATGTGTAACTTCAAACTGTTTTCACAGTTAAACAATGTTATGTATGTTCACTCTGTTCCTTCCTACGGGCTTCATGTACTAGTAGACACTTAGAGGTCCAGTGTGTTAGATTTAGGAGAAATTGATCTATTGGCACAAATTGAATATAAAATAATCCTCGTGATGTTTTCACTAGTTTGTTTCATCTAAATTATACGAATTGTAGTTTTCTTTACCCCAGAATAAAATTGAAATACTTTATATTTACATCGAGGGGACCCTCTCTACGGAGGCCGCAAATGTTTTTAACAGTCGCTCAGACCTGACAAACTAAACACCTTTTGAATTTGTATGACAGCTGACGTCTACCACAGGTTCTCTGTCGTGTTTGGAAGGGGAGGGTGAGATGAGGGGTGTTCAGCTGCAACATGTAACTTCACCACCAGATGTCACTAAATTCTACACACTGTACCTTTAAAGTAAATCAATTTTACTTGTTTGTTTGCTTTGGAGAAAAAAAACTTTTCCACTGAAACATCACACTGGTCTTTTTAATGAAGTCACTTGTAAACATTTTCTCCACAGTTTATAATTGTTTGTCTGCCATGTTTGGTTTACAGGTGTCATGTCAGATTTTGCAGTCTGCAGTACAAATGTTTATGTGTCAGAGTGTATGAAGGATCTTTGTGGCAATATCTCTGTTTGCATCGACCATTTGCACAAGTTAAATGACTGGATTTCAGCATTGTCATTCTCCAGTAAACTGTGAAAAAGTTACACACATCAGGCTGCTCATTGTTTTCATGGAACCAGACAAGAAATATAAACCAGACCCAGGCCTTGTTCAGGTTTATTATGAGTTTGGATGATTACACATTTAAAAGAGCGTTTGTGTCCCAGGCGTAAAAATTGTGTCGATACTTGATCAGATCTAATCACATTCCGGTTTTTTGAGGATGTTGGCCATTTTATCAAATAGTCTCATCGATGAATTAGAATCACAAGACCAAATATGTTTGTCATGTTTTTCTAATATCCACTTTTTTGTTCTGACTCATATAAACCGTTAATTTACATTTTAGAAACAGAGGAATACGTTATTGTCATTCAGTGTGGATCTGTCCGTTAAAACATTGAGCGACACAGTCAAATGAAGTGTGAATCCTCATTTAACAACAGTGTGGAAAGACCAGATCAATGTAATGTCAATTACCATGAACAGCCTGAATGAACAAAGGGAAAGAGGGATCCACACATTGTCATGTTCGACAGCTGAGCCGCATCCATTCACTAAAGAAGACGATGAGAAGCAGTTGAAGTCCCTGAAAATGAGTAAGTGGGCTATTTATCTTGAGTCGTTTAGTCTCATACATGAAATATGTATGAATATGAATAATATCTATGAGTTACAGCTGCAAAAATAAAACAAATCACACATGAATATTAAGATGTGAGTTGAGCCTCATGCTTTTTATGTCAGTTCAGCTCCTGCTGCTTCACCACTTCTAGTGAGACACAGAGAAAGTGGGTGTTATGCAGAGTCGACAGTGCAATGACACACTGCAAACAGAATAGGAACAGACGTATTATGATGACTCAGAGTTACAATCCAGACGCTCAGGCACACACCTCAGGGGATTTTAGTGGTGGGCTCTCTCCAGAAAGGAGTACAGACGTAGAGGAGGATGTGGTGACGCTGGGGAAAGAACAAAAGAAGGCAACCTATATAAAGGCATATGCAACGAAGGCAGCGTAGGGAAGATATTTTGTGTAGGATGTCTCCTTCAACTGAAGTATTTTATAGATGTTTTATTAAGTCTAGACATTAAAGAAAAGCAGACGATTTTTTCTAACATTGAACAATTGGCACAAAAATAGTGACTTTATTCTGCATATTCAGGACAGAGCAGAGTGTTTAACAATCGATGTCTCCTGCCTGATCTAATTCTCATAAAGAGAATTACATAATTGTGTGGAGGGAGAAATATTTGCATCAAAGCAGAAATAAAAGTTGAAAATATGACAGTCGTTTCTTCTTCGCACTGGACGTCTGAGAGCGCGTTCAAAATGCAAAGCACAGCCGCTGTGTTCACTCTGCAGCCTCCACTGACAGAGTTTATTAACAAACCAACAGCAGGTCTCGTGGGTGGAGGGAGAAAAACGGCAATTACCTGCAGAGATGTGAACGTAATCAATGCTAATATTGCTGCTTATGCAGGCGGCAACACACACACACACACACACTCACACACATGCACATGTACAGTAGGTGCACAGCACATGCATAATACATGTACTTGTGCGCATACAACAGTTGTCATGGTCAAAAAGGCCACTGATGAACCATTTGCATGTTTTCACTGGATCAGGATTAATAATAGCCTCACTACATACACACAACCACAGGAACAGACACAAACATCACTGTGACCCAAACAAACAAACAAAGTAATGAACAGTGTGTGTCTAGAGCTGCTGTTAAAAAACAATTACAAACACACATCATTCTTTATCGATATGCACATTAACATTCTGTTAATTGTCATAAATCCTTTTTACTCCCAACCCGTTAACTTAGAATAATCCATTTATAATCTCTGTTTACCTCGAGAGCAAAGTCTGATCTAACAGCTTTAACTGTGGATTAATATCAGGGTGGGATTTATCCAGCTGCTCTACAGTAACAATTCAGGTTGATTTAATGTAGATACAGGCAAACAACAATCGTTTATATATCTCAGAACTAAGTCCAAATGAATTGACAGATATAGATCAGCCATCTAGTCAGCACCATTCTAGTTGACAGAAAGTACTTGTAGCACATTAGGACAATAAATCTGTAAATAATCATCTTTATAGCGAGGAATCATATCCCTAAAGTGTCACCCCTGATAATTGCTTAGCAGAAAAAGGTTCCTCCGTATTAAACAGTGGACCGTTTGGTCTTTTTACAAACCATGATGATGATGAATAATAATCTGTGAAAACTGTTGCAGAGAGACCTCGGGAGTCGACCCCCGTGTGCCACTGTTGCCGGGTATACTTACTTTGCATAATCCCCGCCACACTGAGTTGTAATTAAATGTGAGCTGGGGAATAAGTTGCCTGTGCTGTGTTAACACAGAGAGAGGCCACGATAAGCAAAGGAGCTTTTCCAAACAGTTGAAATGTTACTCAGGGGAACGTTGTGCAGTGACACAGTTGCATCATGACACGTTTGCAAAGCACAAATATGCTGATACTGTGAAGAACTCTGCTCTGTCGCCTCGTAACCGCATGAATTTTATTGATGGTCTATATTAATGCATTCCCAAGATGCTCTTCAGGAGATGAGTCATTATCCTGCTGGTACAGTGAGCCCAAACGAAATAAATCACAAGTCAAACACACACACACAAGCAGTTACCAAAATCTAATGATGCATGACAGAATCATTTAGTTGGGTGCATGCTCAGTGGGTTTAGGAAATAAATAAAGCAACTGGAGCAAAAACATGTGTTTATGTGTTTTGATATTTGTCTTCAAACATTATTTTACATAAGCGATCCACCTCATTCTCCTTGATGGTTAATTCTTCAACGTAAAAAGTGTATTTCGATATTATATTATATATATATATTATCATATAGCAGCAGTAGCAGCAGTGTGTGCTCATCAGACTGGCGCTGAGGTTCAGGTGAGTAAAGATGTGTCAAGATCATGTCGAGATAGAAGCACATTTAAGGGCAACGGTAGAGAGAGCAGACAGGCTTGGATTTTAATTACATGCTTCATTCAGACTGGAGCGGAGGTGGCTAATAGGAGCTCCTGAATGTGGAAAATAAGGATGCATGAATACGCGGCAGCAAGGAGAGGACTGATGGAGAACAATGTGCGAGGAGAGAAGATAGAAAAGATTAAATAGACCGCAGTCAGTGAAAGGTGTGTGTGTGTGTGTGTGTGTGTGTGTGTGTGTGTGTGTGTGTGTGTGTGTGTCACGTCACCTCTTTAGGACTTTTTCCAGCATAAATACTGATCTTGTCAGGACCTCATGGGGAACAAAGCCTGTTCCTAATGAGGCACAACGTCATTTCTGATCTCCTGGTTAAGGTTAAAGATGAGATGTGAACTGAAGTTATAAAGGTAAGAGTTAGGCATGAATTGGTCATGGTTATGATGAGGTTGTTTTTGGTGAGGGCAAGGGTGCTAGAGGTTAACGTGTAAAAATACTTTGAATTGATTCATTAAAAAGTTCATTGAAAGTCCCAATTGGGAAATTAAAAAAGTTAAATAAATGCTTGGTGATGAAATGCCTGAAAAAACCCCTCAGCCCCTCAGATTCAGGATGAGTTTAAAGTTTCACAGCTTCCCCTCAAGCTGGAATAAAAAGTGCTGAGCAATAGGTAAAGTTAAAATGCCAGTCTAAAGATAAAATTCTTAAAGTTAACTATAATAATTTAATTGAATATAGAAATGAATGTGGTCAGAATGTGGAATGCATAGAATAAATGTGACCATATTTGGGTTAATGTATTTAATTAATGTAGACAATGCAAAGTCCAAATGATAATGGTAGCTATATGCAAACGTGTGTGTGTGTCTGTGTGTGTGTGTGTGTGTGTGTGTGTGTGTGTGTGTGTGTGTGTGTCCTGGTGCCCACCAACAGGACAGATAATAAGCAGCAGCCTCCATTTCATCTTTACCACACTTTGTAAAAGGTGCTAAAATCACAAAAGTGTAAATGTTTTATTTACACTTTCATGCAGATCTTAGCTTTTGAGTTGTCTTCATATGTTCAAGTTG